CGGGTCCGGAGATGCGCCGGGCGCTTAGGTGGATGCCTGTGGCCGCGTGGGGACTGGGGCCTCCCGGATCCCGGGGCGCTGGCTCCCGGGGCCCCACAGCCCCTCGCAGTGGTCTCCAGCCAGGAGCTAGAGATGCCCCTTTGGGTCTTGCAAGGACGAGCCCAGGCTGGCGGGGCGACCCCTCGCAGGAGCCTCCTTGCCGGTGGGCTCCGGGGGACCTGCCTCGGCCCGCGCGTGTCACAAAGCGCTGGGAGAGCTGGGCTGCCCCCGGGGCTCCGAACAGGTGGAGAATTCTGCAGGAAGACATAGATCTAGTTCCGATTTTTATTTTTCCAGTTTAAAATTTCAGCAAACCCGTTGTTCTGCTTTTCCTTGCATCTGGGGAGGTGGCGCTGGAATTTAAGCCCCAGCTTTGGGTCTGTCTGTGAAGTTTGAGGTTCACCCCCCCCACACACACACACCCCGGCCATGAGGTTTTGAGTGGGGANGAGGTGGCGCTGGAATTTAAGCCCCAGCTTTGGGTCTGTCTGTGAAGTTTGAGGTTCCCCCCCCCCCCCACACACACACCCCGGCCATGAGGTTTTGAGTGGGGAGAGGTGGGGTCGTGTTGTAGCAGTGTGCCAGGATTTGGAACTGGTCTTGGCCATGGAAGCGCGGTGATTCTGTGTTTTCTCACCTGCAGCCGCGAGGAAAGATGTTCACGGTGCTGACCCGCCAGCCTTGCGAGCCAGCAGGTCAGTGTCCCAGCGGGCGCCGGCGTGATTTGCTCAGCTCGCAGGAGATCCCAGCATCAGCTCGGTTCCGCCCAGTCCCCTGCGGATGGCGGTGGGACCTCTCTAGTTAGATACTCGGCGGCTCACCGGGCTCTCACCACAGGCATTCCTCATATAAAAGTCATGCTTTTCATCCAAGCGACACAAAGCAAGGACTAACATGCATGTTTCGATTAAATGGTTTTTCCGGTTTGCATAATCCATTAATTTGGCCCTTGTGGTTTCCCTTACCCGACTTGTGTGTAAGGTTTGCTTTAGAATATTGTTGATTTTGTGATGAATGGTGAAGCACTTGGATGTTTCTTCTATTCCCATTCAAGCGCTGTTGCTGGCACAGCGCCTACAGCATCCCCCAGGCCCCACCCTGGGTCAGCATTGTTTGCACACGGAGGGAATTCTCCCCCTCT